CACACACACACCAAAAAAAAAAAAAAAGCATCGGCGGCCATGACTCCTGGGCAACCAGCCATATACATGCAAGCTTCTTCATGGAAGCGTTCGTAGGGGGAGAAAGTACCGAGGACCAACGGGCCTACCGTCTTCACCCGAATACAACGCCCGGTCATTATCACTGTACCTAGACTGAAACTTGCGCCAAATACGGCTATAATGACCGGGCGTTCTATTCGGATGAAGACGGTAGCTCAGTTTGCTACACCCAGTTAACTGATGAAATGCAGACCCAGTTTCGAATCCAGATGCAGTCTCAGCTGAACAGAATACGATAACTTGGGGCCGTCTGTGCAAAGCGGCGATTCTGATTCCAACCCGATTCGCCCACGACACCACGCCTTCCCATGTCGCAAAGAGCAAAAGATGGGTGAAGAAAAGACAAAGTATTAGAGAGAGAGAGAGAGAGAGAGAGAGAGAGAGAGAGAGAGAGAGAGAGAGAGAGAGAGAGAGAGAGAGAGAGAGAGAGAGACTCACCAGTGTAGAGAGAAGCTTGGGCCATGCTGCCAGCTACACCGAGCGCTGCTGCGAGACGCGCCAGCCTCCCCAGCAGCTGCGCCGCTTTGGGAGATTGCGCCGCCGCCATCGCCGCCTCTAGGAGAGCCGACCACGTGTACCACTCCCAGCCGCCGAGATCGCCACGTGGGCAAAAGATGTAATCCGGACCGGACAGCTCCCGGCTGACGTGCACAACGTGGCAATCGTTCGTACGTGCGTACGTGTGTGCGTGCCTCTAGAGAATCACAAGCCGCTTCTCACGGCCCTCAATTAACCCAGCCACCGATCATCAGGGACTAAGTCCCACCTACACTCGTATTCTCGATTTCTGACCCTAAATTTCGTAGTAGATCAACGGCCAGAAATGAAGAATCCAGGCTACCGGTAGTGGGAATTGGCCCCAGGTTCGACAAGGTAGGGTCCGCTCACCACCAGGCGCAGCTTTTTCCTCCCAATTCCTTCCTCCCAATCCCTCCCAATTCCTTGTCACTCTGTGTGATAGGTGTGGTGGGTACTGGCCTACCTGTGGTTGCCCCCCTGGGCATCAGTCCAGATTTTGAATGCATCTGGACAGATCTTATGTAAAGATGCATTCAAAACGTTGGCGGATGGTGGAGTTGTACGTACAACTATGGTAGGCCCTAAATTCGCCGCTGATAGGTTTGGTGGGTGGGCAAACCAGTCATTACGGCCTCGCCGCGCCACCCACCGGATGTGATGAAAAGGACAAAAATTCTGGGGGAGAAATCTTTCCGCGTTGTGGCTGAAGATCAGGGCCGTGGTCCCACTAGCAAAAAGGATAGGATCGAGCTCCTGGATCTGGATGTGTTTTAAGCAGAGATGCAGAAAAGCAGTTCAATCTCGATTTCCTGCACATCTCCATAAACTCCTCCAGATTCAGGCATTCGATCCAACCCTCTTTGCTACTGGGACCACGGCCCTGGAGCCAGGTGCGCACACTGGTAGTAGCACTTCTCTTTTTTTGTCAGATTGCCCAAGTTCGCGATATATCCCCCAAAGATAATATATATGCCAGAATACCCTGTCCATCTGTTGGACTCAGGTCGTCTTTGCAATATAGCCCTACCAGTTACTGGTCCAACTTCTTGAAGCACCCCTGCACGTCCCAATTTTCCAACGGCCCAATTCATTTTTCGGTTTACCCCTACTTTTCATTTTGGCGACGGAGCTTTTTGAGCGGCAGGTAGGATGACCATCATCTCTCTCTCTCTCTCTCTCTCTCTCTCTCTCTCTCTCTCTCTCTCT